TTGTTTTTTAGAAAGAGATTTTGAGTTTAAACTAGTTTGCTACCTCGATAAAATAGAAGCGTAAACGTTAAAGACAAGAGTGCCTTTTGTTACAAGTGTGGAAAGTGATCAATTCTAGACTTGGATGACAAAAGTATAAACTACAACATCAGTTATATTTGCTTAAAAAATTAATCTTGAAAGTTCTTCTTCTGTGTCTTTCTGCCTGTGTGTGCGCGTCTGTGTGAAAGGAACCCCCCCGCCCTCGCTGCTGCTGAGCTGCTGCTCTGATTTAAAGGGGAGCTACTGCTTTAGGAATTTGGCTTTTCATAGTTTTTATTCCGTTAAATTTGCTAAATTTGCAATTGAACATTGTGTTAGACACAGTTAAACGTTTTTAAACACCATTAGTAAATATAAGTTTTGAATATTATATGTTTTTTTTTTTTTTGAAACCCAAATATTAGTGCTAAAGCTGTGCAATTCTTTTTAGACCTAACATATTTCTAGATTCCATTCTTTTAAATCTGCTGCTTATTTTGTGAGTCCATTATTGTATCTCTGATATATTTCATAGCTGTTTGTGAGAATTTTTTTTTTTATGTTTTTATTTTAGTTACAAAAGCCGTTTTTCAAACATTTAAATTAGAATCTGTTAAAAGTGATTATTGATTATAGACTTATCTAAAAAGAAAGAGGGAATTAGGCTGTAAAAGTATTATATTATTAAGTTAAACTACCCAATTCACCCATTGCAAGCGGTGACGTTTTTGTTTTGACTATGCACCTGACCTTCCTCCTGCTGCAGATCACGCAGCACAGGAGCCTGGTCTAAAATGTGCTCCAATTCATATTGACTTCATTTTGAAAATGCAGCAATTATTTTAAATTAGTAGAATAGATGCTGAGATAAATAAGTGTAAAAGGGAAAGTCCATAAAGTGAAACCCAAGGACGCATAGATAATTAATCACACAGTACAAAAGTACATAATACATATTTTAAAGGTTGAAGGTTTAAGAGATTTGAGTCTTGTTTTTTATATTGAGAGTTTCTGGTTTTAAAGTGTCATCATTAGTAAGATAATAAGTAATCTTTTATTTACATAGCGCTTGGGAAAACCCAGAGCGCTCCAAAATTGTTTTGACTTCAGAAAGAAAAACAATCTCATTCACAATCTCTGTTGTTTTTAATTTGACTATAAGGTTGTTTTCCAGAACCAAGGGCACACACTGTACAGGGTCACTGGACTGCTGGACACTGGACAGCGCAAAGCCCACCCAGCACAGGTCACAGATCAAAGAGCAAAGGGAAATGCCACCTCCTTGCCCCTCCCCCCACTACAGAAGTAAGTGGGAGTGAGACCGGGGCCATGAAAAGTGGAGGTTTCTGGAGGCAGTGATGGGTGGAGCGTCAGGGAGAGACCTGGAGGAGAGTTGAAAGTGTGTCCACGTGGTTACATCACCACAGTGTGACCTTTGAGACCTACAGGTGGTTCGAGGAGTCTGGAGAGACAAACCCCAAAATTTACACCCTACACACACACACACACACACACACACAATCATACACTCACACATTCACATTTACATATAGATACATGAAAAAGCAGAACATGAGGAAAAAGCATTTTAAAAGTTTACTCCAATGTAAACAAATATTTTTAATTGTCTATCACTTGAATCAGTATTTTTTGAGACCAGAAATGTTCATTTGAATTCTATATTGTCATGGACTAATTGACCTCTGTCCTGACACTTTTGATTTGTTGATTTTGTATTGTGTGAAGTAATTACATTGATGAGAATTAGATATGATAAAAACACAAATTAGAGAAGTAAACTGCGCTTGCTTTTGTCTAAGGGACATTAGCAACAGCATGAATAGAAATTGTGTTAAAGTAGAATCAAAGTGACTAACCATAGAGAGTAACTATTGCATTACAAGCTGTGTACAGGAACTGTGACACTGCACCATTGACCAGAAGTGCATCGCAAATGACCTGATGTGCTTCAAGTGAAAAGACTGTATCTGGAGATTCTGATGTGCATCTGGAGAAACCAAACCATGGCTTGGACCCTACTGATGTCCAAGATAACATCTCTCGAAATATGACCTGACCTGATGACGACTGAGACTCACCCTCAGGGGACCCTGAGGACCTGAGGATCTGAGAGAGAAAAACTGGGGAGTGATGTTTATATTATTAAAATCATACATTGATGAGTGCTAAATGAGAGAGATACTCATGATTCTTTCTTTTGTTTTTGTTTGTCCCTAGCTTCTGGACATCTGATGATCTATTGGACACAGGCATTTGCAGAACAAGAACCAGCCAATGAAAACGTCTATTGCCGATGCTTTTGCTACAACCAGAAACTGTGACCAAATGCAATATACATGTTAAGTATTCAGACATCTGACAGACAAAAACTTTGACTTTTTTAGTCTGGGAGACTGAGCAACTGTTAAAATGTTTTAAAATGATAAAGTATGAGTATTGTAGTGTTTTAGTAGATGTTAAATAGTAGTAAAAAAGTAGAATTGTCCTTCCTTTGTTCTTCATAAACACATTTCCACGTAAGAGTTAAAATAGTACCCTACAATGTTATCCTTTTGATAGATCAGCTATAATATTAGAATCAGAGTTATTTTAGAGATGTTAAAAGTGACAGAAGTCACAAATTAGGAATATGCCTTTGCTCAAGCTGCAAACGAGCTTTGGAGTCACTATAGAGTAAAAATAGAAATAGATAAATGCATCAACCATAGATGCTTTCAAAAATAGAGAATATTTCTAGACATTGCTAATATCAAATGGTAAAGGGACCATTTCACAAGCATTTACTTCAAAAGTAGATAAAGTTAATTACAGTTTATGTACAGTTTTATTAGATACTTGCCAAATTCACTTGTTTTCAAACATCTGTGAATGTTGACAATGCAAAAAGTTCATGAAAGTAGCTTAGATCAATGAGATAGATTAGAACCAACAGAGATTCAAAAGCATTTTGATGTATTTGTGTATAGCACAAAAACACAATAGTAGATATTTAGATATTTGGATATCTTTGAGAAGTTTAAAAAGCTGTAGATTCATCAGCACAGATTAGAATCAGAATTCAAACACCATTGTAGAATAACTGACCCCAACCCCAAACCTGCTAAAATAGATTAGCTACTATTAGGATAATACTAATTTGATTAAAGATGTTCATTCATCCCAAACTGCCTGACAATAATATCTTTAGATAATAAAAAGTAATAAATCACTGACCACTATAGAAGTGTAAATGTTGACCATTTGCCTTACTGTGTTCACAGTTTTATTCCTGAGAATGAGAATAGACATGGAGCAAAATCCCACTGATAATAAGCCACTGATAATGAGAGTATAAAACCACAGAGAGATTTGTTAGATTAAAATGTATGTTTAAGAATATGGCTCAATAGAAGCAAATATACAAACATATTTGTGAATAGATTAGAATAGTTTTAAACTATAGTGAATAGTGAAAGTAAAGTACACAGTCTAAGATTAAATAGTGAAATAAGTGAAGTGTAAACAATTATCATTGGAATAAAAGTATAGAGTAAGAAAAGTTAAATTAGCTTCTAATTTGAGACTCAGCTCGTTTTTTGTCTGTGTTTTGACTGAATCTGCTGAGTTCTTGTGTGTCCAATAGTGTTTGTTTGTTTTTATTTTTGATTTGTTGTTGTTTTTTTGTTTATTTACTTTATTTATGTTTGTTTTTTTTCCCCAGGATAGAGGATAAAATCCACTGATATTGATTTGATGATTATGAGTGTAATGCATACATTTTCTTTGTTTTTAATAATTTTTTTAAGTTTTTATTTTTATTTTTTTATTTTTTTTTCTTTTTCCACTTTATTGATTGATCAAATTGAATGATCACATGTGATTATGTGATCAAAGGGGAGGGTATTAGTATTAGATAGCAATATGGCCTACGTGCAGGACTGTACAAGGACTCTACAAGGACTCCATGTTATGACTATGATTTGACTGTCTTTGTGACACGTATGTCTTTCGATGTGTGACGTGACAATGACTATATAAACTGTGTACTGCCTTTATTCTGTCTGAGAGAAAGAAACAGAGTAAACCAGTGGAACTTGAGAGAAACGTAAATAAACTTCCAGAGTTTGGCCACCACGATCCGTCTCTGTCTGCTTGAATCCTAACAATGATTACACAATTTATTGTTTCATTACAAGTGACAGTGTGAATCAACGTTTGTGTTTCCTTAGAGCAATGAGGTAGGAGGAAGTTTTTATATGGAAAAAGAAGGACTGCGCCGGTGCTTAGATTTCCTGCAAGAGAATAGTCTTGAAGTGGACTATATTGTCACAGACCGTCACACACAAGTGAAAACCTTTCTACGGAGCCGAGATGTAACCCAGTACTATGATGTCTGGCATCTGGAGAAAGGTTTGGAATGAATCTTGTGTGAAAACAGAAACGTGTAGGTTTGTTATCTTATATGAATGCATATATGTGTTATATTGTAGGTGTATCCAAAAAGTTGGATAAGTTGTCCAAAGAGAAAGAGTGCCAGGTGGTGGAAAAATGGACAGCAGCCATAAAAAACCACATATACTGGGTTGCATCATCTTCCAAGACAGGATCAGAGAAAGTGGCAAAATGGACATCCCTTGTAAATCATATTCAAAATGTACACGATCATGATGACCCTGTGTTTCCCAAATGTGCACATCCAGTGAAAGAGTCCAAAGATCCAAGCAAATGGTTTCTGCCAGGTTTGGAAAAGCATAATCGAACTCTGACGCCAGAGTTGTGTGTTCATGTTTACCAATACATTGCTTATTTACTCAGGTTCTGCCCCATTGTACAAAATAGAAAAGCTACTTGTGAACAAGAGACTGCTGGAAGATGTAAAGAAACTCAGCTCTGAGCACCAGACATCGTCACTGGAGGCGTTTCATAGCGTTATTCTCCGCTTTGCCCCCAAAAATGTTGTGTACCCTTTTGTCGGAATGATGTGCAGGTAATATAACTGAATAGTTTTTGTAACAATCATGAGTATTACAAATCCTTTCTACATTGACACTCTTTTTTTGCAGGTTGTTTTTGGCAGGAATGCACTTCAATGAAAACGTGAAGCGTGAGCAAGCATCTTCAAAAGGGCAGCCTTTATTCAAAGTTTCCTACCCTAAATACAAAAAAGGAAAGCCTACAGCAAAGCCCGTCAAAACAAAGCCGACATTTGGTAATCAAAAACACTGTACAAACATTTTACATTGTCAGTGTACATTTATATTTATATATATCTCCAAATGAAAAAAAATATATAACTAGTCACACTTTTGCAGGATATGTCTCTGAGCTGATGCACCTCGTCTTCACTGAGGTCTTCTCCGAGCCAGCTCCTTTTATTGAACAGTTGAAGACTGTCCCTGTGCCTGCAGACCTCAGCTCTCAGTTTGAGAGAGTTCCCAAGGGAGATGTGGTTGCTGCACATGTTGCCAGGTTCAGTCGAGGGGCAGCCGAGGCTGACCAGAGGGTAGAAAGCCAACGTACTGGCCGTCAGGATCTGGGAACTCCTGGCGTATCCTGAGCACTGCACATGCAGGGATGACCACCCTGATTCTGGCTCCCAGCAGTCCCCAGCACCAGCTCACGATGCTTCTGTACGCCACAAATCTGAGACGCCTACCGAGAGTGCACATATGTAAATTAGTGAAATTTACTGTTCTATGTACTGTAATTTGCTGTCCTATTTATGTTGTGATGATTGTACTCCTGAACCCTGCCTCCTCCATCTGCACCTGTGGACTGTCCTCCCCAGCCGGACTCGTGAGCTGCACCCCCTCCCTGCCATGAAGCTGCCTCAGTCCTTGTTCTGCAATGTGTCTGTCTGTCTTTCTTTAGCCTAAGTCCTAGATCTATTGCCCGGTGGGGAGTGGATCCCTCTCTCAATGTAGATCTCCCTGAAGTTTCTCACTTGCAGGACAGTCTGTTTGACAGTTGGTGTCTAACCAGAAGGACTGTGGTGATGATCTAGGACACTCAACATTGTAGGATATTTATGATCATCTGGCCCTTATGGATCAATGACTCTTTGTTTGTATCATTGCATTTCTGTTGTTAGAGCCGTTTTATTCTCTGCTGTGTTGAGAAATAGTGATGTAAAACTATACAGGTATAAATTCCATAGAATTTGGAAAAGTACATAATAAATTATTGCAAATAAAATATTTAAATGAAAGTGTACTTACTCTTCTTGTGTTCTCCTTCGAACTGGCCCATAGTCTGCACGATAAATATTATTTATGGTTTGCAGAACAAAAATATGTATATTCATTGCAAAGCCAGGGTGGTCTATAATGCAGGCAGGTGGATCAGGCAGCTGATTTATCCGTCTCAGAACCTACATATGAAAAGAAAAAGTGTGAGAAAGCCATGTCATGGAATAATGATTATTGTAGTGCATCAATTTATTTTAATATAGAATTGTTCCCCAATTACTATAAATGCGTACAGTAGGTGACACATCTTTGAGCTTGACCGTTGTATTGTTACTGTTTACAAAATGCATCGTTGATATTCTACGCCTTTATGATTATTACAATTACCTGTGGAATTTCTTGACAGCATACATTTTCTCTTTCTGTAGGCATTGTCCTACAGTTCCCGCATGTGCACCTAAGAAAAAATAATATCAAAGCTTCTGCTGTAATAAAATGATTGATAGCGTTAGCTCATATTTTACCAAGCCGAGACGTCCTGGTGGTTCCTTCGGGGCTGTTGCACTTCATGTACCTCAAACTCTGGCTCCGACTCAGGATTGAGGACATATGGCTCTATGTGACGGATTGCCATCGTTGTAAAAAGTTTGTTATCGAGTCTGCAGGTGCGCTGTACCGGCGAACGCTCGTGTTTACAAACTCAGCGTGGCTCAGCCTACTTCAGCGAGTGGGCGTGATGGGGGACGGCTGTGGTCTGGGCTACGTCACCGTGCGGGAGGGGGGAGGCGGGCTCACAGGCTGAGGAGCAAAAATCAGCTCGTTTCATTTGAGGTGACGTAGCCTCCTTGTAAGAAATGGCTATAACTAGACAAGTGTTGAGTGATGTATGGTGTGTCAACAAAATTATGAACACACATGTACATAGGATGGACTGTGAAGCACAATTAGAAGCGCGATATAGGACCTTTAAACAAGCATACAGGCAAGATGCGAAGCCCATCTCAAACTGCAACAACTGTGGAGGCAGCCACGCACCGCAAAGAGACAAGTGTCCAGCGTTTGGCCAACAATGCCATAAATGCAAAAAGATTAATCATTACAAGAAATGCTGCAAATCCAGTTCTCAACAATATGAAAGAAAAAGTTTCAAAAAACAAGGCTACAGCAAAAGAACAGTGAACCAGTTGGATGTAGAGCAAACAGACTACACTGTAAATGATGAAACTTTCTATGTGGATGGTGTTTCTGTTGACACAATAAATGGACAATTTGTAAACCAGGATGAAGGATTTGTTACATTACATATAAACAACAACCCCATTGGAATTAAGATAGACACAGGTGCTAAATGCAATGTGCTGGCAAAAGACACTTTCAGGCAGATGGGCAAATCATAAAATGTGACAAAAATCTTGTGGCTTATGGAGGCAGCAAAATTGCTGGTTTTGTCACATTGTCCTGTTATCTAGATGGACAACAACACACATTACCTTTCTTCCTGGTTGAGCGTGATGTACTTCCACTGCTGGGATTTCGCTCATGTATGCGTCTTGGACTGGTCTCACTGAGTCCTCACGTGCACCAGATCAGCACAGAAAGAATAACAGACTTTGACAAACACATAAAAGAAGATTATAAGGATGTGTTTAATGACGAATTGGGAGACCTGCCAATGACATACACCATGACATTGGATCCAGCTGTACCGCCAGTCGTCCATCCCGCTCATCGCATTCTATTGGCAATGCAGGAACGAGTGAAAGCTGAACTCGATAAAATGACAAACATAGGTGTCATCACTCCTGTCTCTGAGCCCACAGATTGGGTCTCATCAATGGTCGCAGCACACAAACGAGATAAAGAAGAAATAAGGTTGTGCATTAATCCTAAAGACTTAAAGACCTTATGACGGGTTTTTAAAAAAAAAATAGTGGATATCAAAATTGCATGACAATGTCAATTTGAAAGAGATTCCGGCAAAAAAAATCCTATATTTTATAAAAAGAACGTGTTTTTCATGAATTTAAGTTGTCTATGCTCTAACCTGTGTGTGACGTCATAGCGGGTTACGCCCATGCATTGAAAACCATGGATCTATGCCACAGGACTGCCTTTTCTCTCTTCTCTCCACTGGTGCCCAACACAATACTGCACTCTACAGGTGACAATTGCTCACTACACATAAATTGCCGTTTTGAGTGTGAAAAAGTGCCCAATGCGGGATTTGAACCCAAGTATCTGGATTGGCAGTCCATCAACACAACCACTGGACTATCTCAGTGACAATGAAATGTGATGTTCTAGTAGTTATATAAGACTCGCTGTACACGGCCTTGTCATATTGAATATCCGCGAAAAAAGAACGAATACCAAATTGTAAACAACTTACAGCGTTGAAACGTACCCGTTCTGATGTCACCAAGGGCTGTGAAGTTTTTTCGTTTCTAAGGGCGTTGCTATGGGGTTATTTCGATTTGGGGGGATCAGACAAAAAAAACAACAACTGATTTTGAAACCTTTAGTAGTTCTCTTCTAATATAAAATGGTATTAAAACTGTATTTCTAAATAAATCAAACCCGTCATAAGGTCTTTAAACACTGCTCTAAAGAGGCCCCACTACCCAATGCGTAGTGTGGAGGAAGTTGCTACCCAAATGTCAGGTGCAACTCTGTTTTCTGTGCTTGATGCTAAAAGTTCATTTTGGCAAATAAAGCTTGATCAGAAGTCATCCATGCTGACAACTTTCAGCACACCTTTTGGCCGCTACAGGTTCTACGTCATGGTGCTACGTCCCTTAGGACTTCGCTAGTGGGATATCACTCGTGACCCCCAGGTCACACGCCAGAGAGATCAAAATAATTTGCTCCAATCACCAGCCACCGTCCTCTATAAATGCCCCTGCACAAGGCCGCACCCCCTCTTTCACTCTGGCGCCGTTTGAGATCTACTACAGTACTTACTTCATTCTGAGATGTCTTCCTTGTTCGTCCGAGTTCCCTTCGCCCTCCGGCGTCGGACGTCATCGCTGGATCCAGACGGTGGAGGACTTCACCTCTGTGGGCGCCACCACTCGAGGGAGGAGGTGGATACAACCCACGTTGTGCCCGCGGATGGACCCGTTCGTCCATTACGCGACACGTGAGCTGCCCCTAGCAGCCAAGAGGCCTGCTCTGGGGCACAACATGTACTGCAGCGGGCAGGACTGGTCCTGGACCGGTTATCGAGGATTCAGTCCGCATGGCCCTGCAGCCCTCCGCATCCGTGTGGCCCGGCACCAGACCTCTCCTTCCCTCCGAGCGGGACAGGATGTCTTGCCGATGCTGGATAGATGTTATGCCAATGCGGCACAGGTCGTCGCATTGGCTAACAACATGGTTTTCATCACGGGGGCCCTGGATAGGTCGCTCTCCTCTGGCCAGGCGCTCAGTGGAGACCTGCTGTCACAGGCGAGGACCACCTCGGCGGCGATCCTGCGCATGTGCCAGACGCTAGCCGTGGATGGTGGCCCGGACACCGAGGATTCAGTCCGCATGGCCCTGCAGCCCTCCGCATCCGTGTGGCCCGGCACCAGACCTCTCCTTCCCTCCGAGCGGGACAGGATGTCTTGGCGATGCTGGATAGATGTTATGCCAATGCGGCACAGGTCCTCGCATTGGCTAACAACATGGCATTCATCACGGGGGCCCTGAATAGGTCGCTCTCCTCTGGCCAGGCGCTCAGTGGAGACCTCCTGTCACAGGCGAGGACCACCTCGGCGGCGATTCTGCGCATGTGCCAGACGCTAGCCGTGGACGGTGGCCGCTCCATGGCTGCAGCCCAAGTCGGGGCCAGGCACCTTTGGCTTGGGCTGGCTAATATCAGGGAGGCGGAGAAGAGGCAGCTGCTGGACCTGCCCATCTCTCAGACGTCCCTCTTCGGCCCGGACATGCAGGCCCTGGTGGCGAGACTGGAGTCTGCAGCCAACGACTCGGCTAGGCTAGCCCCGCACCGAGGCGCGAGGCCCACCAACCATCACGGAGCCGGGACAGAGGCAGAGAGCGTTCGCCCGGGAGGCATCCTGACCCGTATCCGCGCTCTGTTGTCCATCGTCCCCCCTCGCCGAGGCCCCCGGGTCCAGACAGACCCACGGGTGGCTCGCGGGAGTAACGCACCCACCGCCGACCTCCCTATGGCAGAGGAGGTCGGGGTGGAAAGTTTTCCTTCAATAAAGGCCGACCGGCATTTCATCATTACTCGTTTCTAGAGTCTCATTTGGGGGTATGTAACATGTCAAATAATCTTGTGAATTCTGATTGTGTTACTTCTCGAGCACATAACGTTGCTTCGCTAGGACTGCAGCCCCCAGAGCAGGGTTTGCAGTGCGCTACGCGAGCTACGAGCTCCGGTTCTCTGGTTCATGCTATGCCCTCCCAGAGAGAGGGGCTCGCCGGAACACAGGAGGTTTCTGCGCTTCGCAGTGGGAGAGAGGAATTACGAGTACTGCCGTCTCCCCTTCGGCTACGCACTCGCGCCTCGCACTTTTTCCAAGTGCGTGGAGGCAGCACTGGAGGCGCTCAGACGCGCAGGGGTAAGAATTTTAACCTACATAGACGACTGGTTAATTCTGGCCTC